TTTGATAAAATGTTTTTATCTTATCATAGGTTTCAAATTTTATTTTCATCAAAACCTTAGAGCTAAAGATTTAGCTCATTTGATTCATGGAAAATAAAAATACTTCCAAAACCTTATTGGCAAAGCCAGTCTTCAATGTTAAACCAATCAGCAAATCAGACTTACTTTCTATTTGAAAAAGAAGTCTGATTTCTTTTGCAATCTTAATGAACACATTAATGTGCATCCCCATAACAACTGTCTCACCTCTGACTTCTAGCTCTACAATAGAGAGGTGGGTAGAGTAACAAGGCCCGAGAGTCTGCCATGAGGTGCTCTGCCTCCAGCACTTCTCCCAGATGCCTCTTTGCCTGGATCTCCGGGACTCTACTCGAGAGTCATTCTTTGGCAATTCCTAAGGGATGGACATTAAATGAAAAATATTTGGATTTGTCCCTTTGATTGGTGCCCCAGAGTGTTTTGTACCTCTGGGGCATAGTAAGGTACAGAAGGGTGGGAAGTCTGCCTTTCAGTTTTAAAGTGGGAAAAGAACAATCATGCAATGGGAGGCCAGGAAGGAGAACCAGCAAAACACAGGCACTTGTTCTTGGGCAGATCCGTCTTAGGAAAGAGGAGCGATGGGAGTTGAGAGTAGAAGTGGGGTGACCAGCGAGACCACCATTGCAAAAGTCCAGACAAGAGAGGACAACAGCCTAGATGAACCTGGGGGTCCCGGGGTGGAGGAAAGTAAGGTTGGCAAAACTGAGGTCAAACTGACAAGTATTTATGATTGAGATAAAGCAAGTCCCCCATAACTCAAGTTTCAAAGGCGTTTTTTAGCCAACAAGCTAACTCCTGCCAAGGAGACCAGTGACATCTCTGTAGACCTGAATTGGCAAGAGGACACAGCAGGTAACTTCACAGCCATGATTCCAGGTTGTCCCTACAGTCCGTGTCTAGGAGCTGTGGCACAGAGCCTGATGAATATCCTGCCGCTGCCCTGCCCAGTGATGCCTTTTTATTTCTATTTTTCTCACCACTATACTTAGAAGGATAGTGATGCTTTTTAATGTCTTTAATTATCGTAAATTACAATTCATTGATTTCTTTGTTTCAAGAACAAACACTTTGAGAAAAACAAAAATCTGTTTAAATTAAGCATAGAAAGTGGTTACTATTTTACTCTCTGTGGATATTTTTTAAATAAGGGGCTTGCTTAACGGAGTGCAGTCATTCCCATTTCTTCACCTTGTCCTGTGTGAGTGCCATGGTGGGGGGTACGGCAGCTTACCTGGCAGTGATGGACAGGCCCATCCCAGCCCTCTGCACACCTGGTCTACAGAAAGCAAGCACCTCCAGAGCTAGTGTATTCGCATCTGCTCTTCTGCTTGCTGCAGGGCGGATGTCACTGTGGTTACAAGGAGAAGCCACCACATTCTGTGAAAAATATCATTGGGGTCACAAAGCCTCCTTGGTGGGTTTGATATGTTGTCTTGGCATACCTTCCATCCCCCCATGGTACTCTGCCACCCCCATGGCTGATACTTTTAGCTATAAAGCTGGAAGTCCCCTATATTAGTCCGTTTCTGTTGCTTGTAACAAAATACCTGAAATTGGGTAATTTGTAAGAAAACGAAAATTATTGCTTACAGTTTCAGAGCCTGGGAAATCCAAAGTCTAGGAAACACATCTGGTGAGTGTCTTCTTTGGTTGTGAAGCAGGGTATCACATTGTGAGAAAGGCAGGACTCTCACGTGCTCTCTTTTTAAAGCTCTCAGAACTATGCCCATGACCACCATTATTAATCCATTCATTAGGGCGTGGTCCTCAGAATCTAATCACCTCTTCAACGCCCCACCTTTCAATTACCATAATAGGATTTCCAATCCTCTAAACGGTCACAGTGGGGATCAACCTTCTAAAACATAAAACTTGGGGACACAATTCAACCCATATCAGCCCCCAAACCAGCTACATACAGATCACTTCTGGGAGACTGAGATAGAACTACCCCATTTTTTAGCTGTACACCTCCAAATCTGGCCATTTTCATACTCAGGGGCCTGGTTCCCAAGATCTAAGTATCTGGAGGCTGACTCTGTGCCCCCTCTAATGCTTTCTCCACCCCGTAAGGTGTACTTTCATGTCTAGCCATTCTTACCACCCTCCTGGTTGTAGGCTTTGGCCAGTGGGGCCATTGGACACACCTCCTGCAGTGAGAGCAGCAACCAAGCAAAATGGGAAATTTCCATCTAAAGCAAGGATTGTGGTGTTGGTGGCCTGTCTGGAATTGGCTGTTTCCTTGTTCCATTTACTCATGTGAGTGAAGGGACAGCATTGTGTCTATATAGCCAGGGACACACACACACGTGCAAACACCTACCCCGCCGCATGCATGCCTACATCTATATGCCAGTCATAGCCATCATTGCAAAGGTTTTTCATTCCTCGACTCCCTCATCTTCCATTTGAAAATGCTGCATGTCCTTGGCGTAAGTCCTCAGTGATACAGGTACACTGTATCTACAACAGCCTTGCTAATAATTGCAAAAAATGAGAAACTGCCTAAATGTCCACTAACAGGAGAACTAAATCATGGAACACCCATATAAAATGCAACCATTTAAAGGAATGCGGTGAATCTACATCTGCTGACATGAAAAGCTTTCCTTCTACTGTTAAGTAAGAAAGGCAGGTTGCAAATATATATATGCACAATACAATCCTATGTGTCTAAAACGACGTATAGCATCTGTTTACGCACAGATAATATCTGAGGAACACACTCAACTATTAAAGTGGTTTTCTCTGGAGAGTAGATGACAGTGAGGAGAGATGAGACAGGGACTTCCTCTGTATTCATTTTTGTATTGTCTGAAGTTCTTCAAGAATATATTATTCTTAAAGTTTAAAAAGGCACTTTAAAAAACACTTATAAAATGTTCCATGTTCCATATTAGAGTAAGCACCTTGAAAGCTTTGAGAAGGCAGTGGGGGGGGGGGCACTGAAATCAAAGTAATTTTTTTAAAAAAGCTCATCCAACACTTAAGTTTGGACCCCAGGAGGGGAGTGCAATTCAGCAAACACAGCTGAGCCCACGCTGTGATGAGACACCTGAGGGGTTGAGGACACATCATGAAGTCTGGGACACAGTTCTCACCCAGCAGACTCACAAGTGGGGCAGACACATGGCACAGAAAATGCCAGATGGCTTGCCCCTGAAATCAAGCAGCAGCGGCAATGTGATGTGCACCCACTGTGAGATTCAAAGTGGGCAGCCCCAGAAACCTTGAAGAAATGGGAGGAGGGCTCACCACTGGGGCTGGAAGGTTTCAGGAGAGCAACAGGCAAAGGGGAAGGGGACACATGTGCCAAGTACAGAAGAGAGAAAACTGCCTCCACGCAAGCATTCACCAGGCCATACGTGACCCCGCAGAGCCACAGGTGAGAGAAATGAGATCCAAGTCAGAGATCGGGAGAACTGGCCCCAGGGCTTAAACAGAAGTGTTCCAGGAACTGCAAATGCAAGGGCCTGAAGCACAGAGGAGCACAGTTGAGATGACTTGAAACCTGTGAGGCTGCAGCCACAGGAGCAGGGGAAGGGCAGGGCAGGGGACTGGGGCAGAGGCTAGTCTACCAAGCCAGGGTTTGAACTTCCATCCAGCAACATGTGTCATGGGAGGCTGCAGTAGTGGCAAAGCACAGAGGAGCACAGTTGAGATGACTTGAAACCTGTGAGGCTGCAGCCACAGGAGCAGGGGACGGGCAGGGCAGGGGACTGGGGCAGAGGCTAGTCAACCAAGCCAGGGTTTGAACTTCCATCCAGCAACATGTGTCATGGGAGGCTGCAGTAGTGGCACCTGTAGATCCCCTTAGTGAAGATAATTTTCATAGCAGGGGGGCTGGAGGGCTGATCAGGAGAGAGACTGGTGTGAGGCTGTTGCCTCCAAGAAGGCCCCAAGAGGGGATGAGGTTTGGTGTGGGTTTAGCCCTGAGAGAAAGCCCCCAAGGGTGTAGTCAGCAGAGGACCACCAGGGCCCCACAAGGCTTCTGCTGCTGCCGCCACCCATGGAAGTCTCCTCGGTGGAAGGGAGAAGGCCCTTCGGTGATCACTTGGGTTTCCCTGCCTGAGTTCCCCAGAAGCGGGCAGGTCACTAACTCCTCTCCCTTCTCAGTCCTCAGTGCTCATTTTGCAGACAGAGCAGGAGATGCTTCGAACGAGGGCAAAGAAGTGGACAGTCCTCTTCTTTCCTGCCCACTCTCACCCTCACTTCTTGAAATCTTTCATCTCTTTACCCTCTGTCTCTGTCACTCCCACAAGAGGCATTGCCAAGTGCCATTTCTAAACCCTGTTCCTCATCTGTCAGTTTTCGA